GCTGACAGGACTGGTTTAGTGCTTTTATATTTTTTTTTTTCATATTGGAAGTTCTAAAATGTTTCTTTTTTCAGTGCTTAACCGGACAAAGATGGATGGTGCTCAAGACTTTATCCCATTTTCCAATTCTAAGTCAGATCCATTTTATGCAAAAAGAGTTGCAAAAGCAGTGGCTAAGAATCCTTTCAATGACAGCAGGGCAAAAAACTTCATAATTGTAAAATCGAACGGCAAAAATCAACCAAAGCGTTACTGGGTGAGTCAACCCTTTCAACAGTTTCTACAGTGTACCACAGAGAAGAGTTTATAGCTACTTGACCACCTTTCACCTTGCATGTTCTTTTAGTACTGAGAGTTTTCCAGCTGTCTTCGTCGAGGAATGACCTGTCGCCAAATGTACCATATTCGATGAATCGTAAGTATCGTTATGAGACTATGCAACCAGAAAAATTACTGTATTCTGTCGATCCCTCCGACAGAAATCTGATTGTACATCAGCAAACAGTTGCCAATCTCCAAGGTTTGGAAAGAAGCCAATATGTTTCTACTGATACCATTGAATTAGTAATTCATAAAAAAAATTTTCTCTGCAAGAGTAAGATATGAATTAATTGCAGCTAAGAACGCCATGAAGTCAGCATACTTCAGCAACGATCCGGAGTCCTTAAATTACCTGCTGAAAAGTTTTCGCCTTGGAAAAGTGTGTCTTAAATGATGATATTTCTATCAGTCTTTCATTCAAAACATCTTTCCTTTTTTGAGTGACTTCAAGATATTTTGGTTCTTTTTGAACTTCTGTGCAAGAAATTGAGCAATCTAAAAGGACAATCAGAAATATGAGTCCCATTTCAAGTTTTGATATTGTTAAATATTCTTTTAGCTAAACTAGTTTCAAATTAATTGGCTAGAACGGCCGGAGCCTTGTTTCTTTATCATCGATTTGTCCCACTGCTCTGTTTGAAGACAGTACATACAGTCGTTTTTTTTTTTTTTTTTTTTTTGAAACATGGGTAATC